TTTATTTCCCCTTCCCCCAAAATTAAAACCAGTCACTGAGTCCTTTACTGTTATAAAAACATCCATTAAAAAGTACCATTATTATTTCTGACCCTCTTTTACAAAACCTCATGGAGTTTGCGTTCATTCGTAATGTAAAACTAAGATTGATTTCTTTTTTTTTATCATTCAGAAAGCAGCAGAGAGCCTCCATAAGCTCAGAAGAGAATGACTCGGAGCGCACCAGCCCGGTGATGCTGGACAGTGGGCTCCTGTCCCCGCAGAACAAGCCCCATAGAAGTACGGACCCTTCCCCTTCCTTCGGGGCGTGCTTTGCGGGTGCTGGGGTACCCCCAACCTGAGCTTGCACACTGTCTTGCAGGCTGGCCGGGAATGTCACAGTCCCTGGAAATCTGCGAGGGGCTGGAGGAGTGGTCGGGTAACCAGTACCTCTCCAACTGCTCGGACACCGAGGAAGAGGATGGGAACCAGCTGGTTAGTACAGAGATGCAATAGTTCCAAAGCTTGGGGTGCTGCCGTTTTTGGTCATCTTGCTTTGTTTTGCTTCACTGGATAATGGATGTATCTTGTCCATGTCTCTCAGATTTTTCCATATCTCAGTTTTGGGGAATGAGGAGATGTCTCAGCCACAGTTTCTTGAAATAATTTTAATTAAGGTAGCTGATAGGGCTCTGTCACGTTCCCTGCGGCAATCAGAAATAACAGCTGCGTGATACGAAATGTGGCTAAATAAGATAATTTTTTCTTACTACCACAGTCTCCAGGAAAATATAAAGCCCTTGCAGACTGCAAGAGGAGAGGATCAGAGGACCTTCTGGTGAAAAATGGGGATGAAATTCAGCTTTTGCATGAAGATGGTGAGGGACAGTGGTAGGTATTTTAGGATTACTTTGCTTTACCTCTCAGAGCCTGCAAGGCAGTCCCATGCAACATCGCTTGCCTGGCGATACTCTCGTTGCAGCTTCTGATTAAGTTTTAGACTATTCCAGAAAATGGGAGAATTCACTCCCTTGCCAAGACTAGAGGCCATATGCGCTGGCTTGGCCTGGGAAAATATCTCGGGACTTCCCTTGCCACGGGTGTCTGGGTGAGCTGTGTTTTAGCAACATCTTCGCAGCCCCTCTTGCCATGCTCTTCCCACTTCAGACGATGCTTCAAGAGAGAGCTCTTTGCCCACCCCAGCTCAGCTGTTGGCCTTGTTCCTCCAGGCTTATTAATAGCAATATTGAGTAATTGCGAGACACTTTCCTCCCCCAAACAGCTGTATGAGTGTTAACTGGTTCATGACTGCAGACCAACTTTCTGTTGTATTTAAAGCTGTGGCTCGCAAGATAACACTTCACAGCTGGTTCTCTCCTTATGGCTGGGAGCATTGCCTGGGAAATCACCATACCCAGCCTCCTGCCTGCTG